CATGTACTTTCCGATATGTGTAAATAACGACTTAATCAATAAAAAATAAATTAATTTATAAGTGATTTAAAGTATTCCGAGTGGATTTACTTTACTACACATAATTGAAAACGAACGTACACGTCACGTATTTCGGAGTATTTTCTATAAACAAATTTTCACGAATCAATAATTTTTATAATTGAACCAGTTTCCGTTGGACTTTAATGGTTTAGTATGTTCATTAAGACCAAGTGCTCATCGTTATAACAAGTAAATCGTCTAATTTTAATTTTAACAAACGTCAAAAAAACTATATCATCATTTTCTCAAACTTTGATAAATTTTTAAAATTAAACTACTTGTCGTAAGGCCGTAATATCTCAGTAAGTTCTAAAAGACCATAATATATATCGCCAAAACAGTTCCATAAAAATCGGCCTAAAATTTTTTTTCAGCAGTTAATTACAAGAATACGGCTCGGTAGATTTTCACCTAAAACTAATCAGTATCATCATCATCAGAAGACAACGTTCATTTGTCATAATTAAAAAGTATTTTTAATACTATTTCTATTTTTCAGCCTCCCAGAACTTCATTTTCTTCGAATTACAACCATACATCGCGTTCCATTCCTGCCCACATGCGTTCGAATAGTCGAATACCGCACAGTTCAAGTTATCAAGGTTGTGAGTATCAGCCTGTCGCCTCCACCTCCCGGAATTGCCCTAAATGGCTCCCGGTGAGCAGAGAGGAGCCGGAACCCACACCAGGGCCATCTAATCACGTGCGTGACGAAACCACCGCCTCATAACATACGATAGAATCACAGCGGTAAAATCATATTTATTAATATTTTATTTTGTTTTTGACAAACATTCCGCTCGTATTGGTTCTGTGATAGTAACGAACTCTATCAGTTAAAAAATATGCATGCGTTGAAAATAATTTAATATAGTTACTGATAGGGAATGCAATACCGATAGAAAATTTCAATACCGGTATTTCGGTAATTTTTCATTTTAAAACCGGAATACCGGTAAATTACCGGTATTTTTATTATCTTCAATAAACGTAAACAAAATTGAAAGTTACTAGTACAATTATAAAAAAATGTATATACAACTACAACTATATTCAACTAAACAATAAATTTATTTTTTTAAATAATAATTTAACAAAAGTGTATGCAATTCACTTAATTCATTATCACTATCAAGTATATTGAGTACTTTTCACCAAAAACAAACTTATGAGTAAGAAAGACCAAAAACTCATAAAAGATCATATTACATTATTATAATAAACTGTATTGTCTGGATCCGATGTGTTAAATTAGCATAATCTCCAATATTTAAAAAAATAATTTTTCTACACTAATTTAAGATTGGATACTTTGTCGAGATAAATAATAAGTTACTATAATTGTTGAGTATTGTTATTTAAAACAATGTGATGCTTCTATAGTATTTTCAAACTTCGAAACGTTTTCGAAAAATAATATTTTATAATTGTAATAAGAAGCAAAAATATTTAGTAATTATCATAATTATTATGTATAAAGTTAGAAAAAAATAAAGATTACGCAGTATGATATAAAATATTTTGGCGCAAATATCACTTAAAAAACCGTTACATTTTTACAAAAGATGAAACAAACAGAATTATCTATCAGTCCTATTCTATTTATTGTAACACGATATGAAGCCCTTTGGAAAGCAATAAATATTCAGATTAATGACGAGTTGAGATAATATTTGACATTTGTTTATCTAATAGAAGCACGTGAAGATATAGCTGTTAATGCGATTATGGAATTTAAAGATAAATTTGTTCCGAGAAATTTAAATATTAGGGTATTATGTATCAAATAGCGCTTATGTAAAATTACCGAAAATACCATTTTTGGAATAAATACCGGTAAAAATACCGCCGAAAAATCGGGCGGTTTACCGGTAATTCGGTATACCGGTATTGCATTCCCTAGTTACTGACTGCCTACATTGTACATATCGCCTAAAAAATATTTTACATATTATGGGAAGTCTTGATTTTTAGATGCATGTTTTGGTATTCAATTCAATCAAGGCAAGTATCAAAATCAAGAAGCGTTATAATTGTTTGAAAGTATTTGATGAACTTGATTAGTTTTCCTAATTAAAACTTTCTTATTCGAAATATTTTTTATAGCTATCGCAGTATCAATTTGAAGCGAAAGTATTGTAGGATTTGATTATTAATTCCGTACTTTTATGTATTGAGATCATTAGGTCAGAAATAGCTTCGAGTGGTGCATAATTCTCAAAAAATATTATTGGATAATATATAAATATGATAGAACAAATTATAGATTATAATGCTGTGATGCATACATTTGTTTATTATTTGAACAGATTTGATGCATTTAAAGCAATTATAATGAATAGTCACCACTCTTATGCTTCTTTTTCAATAACACTATATTTTTTGTATATTCCTATTTATAATGGAATTATATATTCTTTAAAATGTCAAACGTTTTCTAGTCTCAGATCGAATGTAATTAGCACAAAATATTTTTAATAGAGCTATACATTTATTTAAAATAAATACAAAATTGTCTCTTCGATTTGCATAAATCTATATCGTGTGAACAATATGTATATAAAATTATTATATAAAGTATATTTTAATATATTTATAGACATTCGGAAATATGTCTATCAAAACAAATGTAGTAATTTGTGAGTTAATTAATTACGTGACTAATTTATTATTTAATGAAAGTAGCTATCGAATTAGTAAATAAATTTAATAAAATGTGTCCAGTATTTTTATGAGGGGCAGTTTATTGTAGAACCAAAATAGACAATGTAAACACTGTTGATTTATTCTAACTACAATGTCTTATAAAAATATGAAATTGTCCCAAAGAAATCTATAATTTTATCCGAGGTATCTATAAATTTCATCATTAAGTGGCTACAAAATTAAATAAACGCCTTCAAAGTATTATTGTTAATTTGTAGCTTGTGCCAAATCAAGGCAATCGGATTGATAGACCATACTGTAGTTTTGTATTTAGTGATAAGAGCACTTAACACAACTAGTCAGCCAACTCAAATGTGTTCAAATATAAATTAATTAAGACATAGAAGTTTATATTAAGATTTAATTACATGGTTAATTTTATTAAAATTAAATAAGTACGAACATGATTACTTATGTCTCGAATTAATCTTCATTATCATCTGTTTCAAATAAAAATGGGTTATATTAGATTTATTAGGGTAGAAAGTTTAATTAGTAGCACATTCTTATGCAGGTTTTAGTCAAGACCTACTTTTCTTCTACACCGCTGCATTTTTTACTATAACTAACATTTTAACATAAAATTATTAAACTCTTCTACGTCATTTTCTGATCAAAAGTTTTTTCTAGAATCATATTCAGAATTTTAAGTTTACTTTTGATTGTGTGCAAATTTTATCACAATTGTGATTTGTGTTTACAAAAGAAGTTAAAATGCTTTAATGCAAAAATAAATTTTTGTTATCAGAGTAAACGATTAAAAATAGTTGTCTATGTTGTACATTATTAAGTTACTTCAAAAATTTTTATTCTTTGTAATTAAATAAACTTAAATGTGATGTGATACTATTTTACATTATGGTAAATGCTGATATAAATTCACTTATCCAAATTAAATAATTAAAATCAATTAAGTTTTGCTGGTATTTTTATTTTACTTATTAAAAATGTGATAAATTCAAGTTTTATTTTTATGTATCATAAATCTGAACTTATAGAGGTCTTAGGATCAATTTGGTAAAAATTGATTGATAAAAACGTTACTTCTGAAAAATTTATAAATATGATTTTTTATGCAAACATGAAATAGAACATATCTGATTAACCAATTTTAAATTAACTTGCTGATAAATAAATAAATCATACAATACAAAAATCAATTTCACTGCGCAGATAAAATTATTTCCATTACATAATTGAAAGATCATATTCTCTTATTCTATTTAATTACTGTGGATATTTCAAGACTCAGTTTAATCCTTCATGCAATAATTAGAAACTTAAATGAAAAAAATCAACCAAAGATTTATACACAACAAAATAACAAATATATAAGTTGACAATACAAAAAAAGTTTTAAATTGCTTACTTTAATAATTTTAAAGTGTATTGCTTATTTTATACTTTTTCTATTTTTTCATCACGTTTGCATGATTTAATTACGATATGTTTATCCTATTGTATGAATGTATTTCATTTATTGTATCATTTTATATCCATTTTATCATTTCATCTTACCCTTCTTTTAACAATTAATTTACATTTTTTATATATGTTATATTTTGTCTTGATTTAATGTCCTAGGTGTACTGAAGATAAATCTTTAAATTTATAAAAAATTAAGTACATGGTAACAAAAAATCGTTTTTTTTAAAGTTTATTGGATGGATCAGATACTGATTCATTGTGAAACATTAATTCAGAATATTTACATTTTAAGTGCAAGGATATGCTAAAGTCAATAAGAAAAAGCATATATACATATATATACTTGTACATGATTTTTGTACCAATGGTGTATTATAATTTTAATGCTATGATGACTTGTTGGGAGTTTATTAAAATATAATCATATATAGGAACTAGATACTTGATTTAAACAGCAGATTAATTTTATAAGCATGTTTTTAAGTTGCGACACCATGTTCAATTACAAATGAATTAAATAATTGCATCGAGAAAATGCATTTTTAAAATATGATTCTGCTTTAAAAGATTTTCTTTGTATTATATGTAAATAAATAAATACTTTAAAAGATAAATGTATATCCTTTTATAAAATAGTAGTGGTTTATATTTTGTTTGTATGTGCAGTTATTGTAAATGCTTAAAATTATGATCATAGCAATAAAAAATCCCGAATGTAATGGTATTTATTTAAATTTTTGAACCGTGAGAATTAAAAAATGTCGACGATTTCATGGCAAAAAGGTTTGAGAAATTGCAGCAAACTCGCCACATAACCTCACTTTTAGAATAAAAAATTATACGGTAAATAAATCATTTTGATGATTTCCAGTTTTAATTACTTGATATAATTTGTGGATTTAGTTAATATTTCATATTGAGGTTTGTACTATTGCAACGAATGCATTTACAATTTTTAAGTATGTTATTTTACTTTCCTTGTATGTGTTTCAATATTGCCAGAATGCTATTTACTGCAGATATATATGGGATCACAAAACATATAATTTTTTCACATGTAATTTTATATTAAATAATACACCTTTTATTTGAAATCGCAGGTTGAAATAACTCTATTTACACTTGCCTAGATCCATTTCGCAGCTGAATGAAATAAATGTAGATTTTTTCGTATTTTGCAATCTGGCACTAGTGGCATGAATCGAATTAAGCTTTTTAGTTTCGTGAGCAAACCTGTATTCGTGATGTCGTACGCGCGTCGTTCGTGAAATTTTATTTATTGTTCGAATCGATTTTCCACTTATAATCAAATTAGGTGCTTTTGGCATTTGCAAAGTGATGATTTTTTCCGAAGATAAGTTAAACCTAGCGTAGAGAAAAGAACGACGATTGTTTTGCGTCTCATAGATACTCCATTCTGCATAGATAGTATAGTTATGGTTAGGATTTCCGAAAAATGTACGATTTTTGAAAAGATTGTGCCCTTATTTTGAAAAATTAGTGATTCAAGATGCAAAATATGAAGACCAGAGTTGTTTCCATCGGTCCTTTCACTAAAATCTGCCGAATATGCCTCCAAGAAACTGAGAGGCAAAGGAACATTTTCGGTCCACCAAACGGCCAACCTGCCGAACATTTACGATACGTCACAGATCTCAAGGTAAATTTAACATAACCTAAACACAATTTTTAAATCGTAAACTAGTCGAATTCGACATCAACATATTCTACTAACAAAATTATTATAAACAATAATAATGTATTATTCCAAAGCGTGTAATTTGATTGTGCTCGTCGACGTATTGAATTGGTGAATAAGCGGGAAAAGTTTCGCTTGTATATTTCAATCGTGCTTAGTTAGTGTTATTGTTTACAAACAAATGATTTAGTAAATAATTTTGCATAATGTGCCAATGTGACGTCAAGTACTTACTACTTGTGAATTATTTTCACTTCATAGATACAATTATGAACGATTTTTTTTGAAAAATCTTTACGTCAGTAAGGTTAGGTACGCGCGTTTTGCAGTTCCTTAATTTCGAGTCCGAAAAGTATTCCATAAGTTGCAACATGTCTAAGCTATCGTTCCGAGCGAGAGCGCTGGACGCCTCCAAGCCAATGCCAGTCTATATGGCAGAGGAACTGCCCGATTTAGCTGAGTACACTGCGATAAATAGGGCTGTGCCTCAAATGCCAAGTGGTATGGACAAAGAGGAAGAATGCGAACATCATTTACAAAGGGCAATATGTACAGGACTCATAATTCCAACACCTGAAGTGTTGGATCTTGGGGAACACGAAGTTTATACACGATCTTATCATGCCGATTGCAAAATGCCTAGGCAGTTGATACACATGCAACCCTTAGCAATGGAACAAGATATTCCTGATTATGATATGGATTCAGGTGATGAAGTTTGGGTTACGGAACAATCGCAAAGGCTTGATTTATCTCAGCTTCAATTCGAGCAGATGATGGATAGGCTAGAAAGAAGCTCAGGGCAAACTGTTGTCACATTGGCAGAAGCGAAGGCATTGCTCAAACAAGACGATGATTTAATAATAGCAGTATATGATTATTGGTTGAATAAAAGGCTCAAAACTCAGCATCCTCTTATCTTAACAGTTAAAACTGAGAACCGAGGTGGTGCTGCTAATAATCCTTATATAGCATTTCGAAGAAGGACAGAAAAAATGCAAACTAGGAAAAACAGGAAAAATGATGAAACTTCTTATGAAAAAATGCTAAAGTTAAGGAGAGATCTTTCTCGTGCGCTTACTTTATTAGAATTAACAAGAAAAAGGGAAAAAAGTAAACGAGAATTACTGCATCTCACTATAGAAATATGTGAAAAGAGATATCAGGCCAAAGATTTTACAGGTCAAATAATGTCCGAATTATCTGCAATTAAACCTAGCCGTCCAGCATTTGCTCCCATATTTACCAATCAGTACGCTAACCAATATAATTCCTGGAATACAAGTAACTACTTATCTGCAGGTTCATACCAAAGTAAAAATTCTCACAGAGAAAAGGACCGAGACCGTGATGAGTACCTTCCAAGAAGAGAAAAGCGCCCTAGCAAGAAACGGAAACATAAAACACATCGAGAAAAGTACTTCAATATTGCTAGTCCAGCAGTTAATGCTCAGAGCTCTGGCGAGGATGAAGGATCATCAGCATTAGGAGGAATGCCTGAGGCCGAAGAAGAATCTGCATTTGTTTTTCATAGAAATAAGGCATGTTCATACCATTGCCCAGTTGTTAGGAACAGCCATGATCTAGATAGGCCTCATGAAATGTTTTCTTTGGCCTCACTGCGGTATCCACGAAAGAGAATGCTGGGATTTGCAAGGCGTCGAGTGGGTCGTGGTGGCCGAGTTATCATCGACCGAGCAAGTGGCATTGATGATATCTGGTCTTCACTAGGTTTCACCATTCATGATAATCAAACAAATTGTGACAAAATTGAAGAAACAGACTTTCATAAAAAGCAACGATTTGTTAGGTTACTTCTTACTGAACGAGGCAGGTGTAGTGCAAGTGGTAAAGATAAGGCAGATGATAATTTAAGTGATGTGGAGTTAGACAAACTAGAAAATGAAAAAGTTTCATTGTTTAGTGAAATAACAAATGAGTGTTTGCATTTCAGACCACGGACACCTCTAAGTGATATTATTGATTCCAATTATACGCCAATATTAGAATCGACTGATTCAGTGTCAGTCGAGATACAGAATATGTCACGGGACAGGGACCCCTTACTAGTAGAATTGGCTCTACAAGAATTGTGTAATGAACAGAGTTCCTCATCTGACGAAATAGATGTCAATGATCCATTTGTTACAGATTTCTTGAATGAAAGTGGTGAGAGCATAGCTTTGGAAGACGGTGTTCTTGATAGTATTTTGTCAGAAAGTCAAATTAATGATTTGAAAAGTCTTCATGGTAGTAATACAAATCTAACTGATATTTTAGATGATGGAAATTTATTAGCTCTCGGAGATGAACTAACTGAGGGGGCTGAATTATTATTAAATCAAACAAAAGACAATCTTAATACCCTTCAGAATGGCGTAGACCTAGCTGATAATAATGACAATGATTTATTAGATTCCTTATGTAGTGATAATAGGTATTATTATAATGATACTTGTTATAATGAACATATAGGCTGTTCACAATTTTCGGTAACGTCTTCAGCATCAAAATGGTCTTCCTCTTCATCTAAAATTAAAGTGGAAGATGTGAAGCCAGTTGTTTCTGAAATACAACTAGAATCAAAACTACATGAGGTTCCACCTGTAAATTCTTCAACCATGTCATACAATTCAGTTCTATCGGAAAGTGTATCTGAGGCACTGAGGAGAAAAGTGTATAGGAACAATATTGACTTAATGAAGTCTTCGACTTTGAATGAGGGTTCATTAGTGAATTGTGTTGAAAGTGTAATGTTTAACAAGAACTCTAATTGCACTAATGTTGTAAAAGGGGAAATTACGCTTAGTAACAATACAAATAGGTGAGGGGCAGTTTACGAGAACCCGACTGGACTCTACAATACATTCCCGGGTCGATATTTCGACGTGTGTAATGGATATGACTCTGTAGTTATATTTAATGCTATGTGCTTTTTAAACATGTCGATGTTAGTATCGATAAGTTATTAGTCGGGTTTTATCGTGATGTCAATGTCATAAATCATGGGTTCTGTGGTGTTTTCTTTGAACTTTAATTATGAATTCGTAAATAATTGCAAAAATGCAAAAATGTATTAAATATAGAAATACACGAATCCAAAGTTTTGTTACAATAATTATACAATGAAATAAAAATAGTAAAATATCTTATATCTGATATTTATTTACTTGCACTCATATGCACATTACTAAGGTGAACATACGTTCCGGTTTGGCCGGGACAGTCCCGGCTTTCTATCTTGTATCCCGGGTTTTTCTAAAAGCAATTTTTGTCCCGGATTTAGACCTTTTGTCCCGAAAATTTTTCGAAAATTAATAGGTAAATTTACAAAAATTATGAAAATAAACGAACAAGTACTATTTTTTTGAAAATTAAATTAGTTATGAACAATTGAATAGAATTTTATACAAGACTCAAAGGCGAAAAAAACATAGAAAGAGAATATAAAATACGATATAGATAAAAATTATTACATATCGACTAATAAAGTTTGCTGAACTTTTTTTCCGCATATTCTGATTTTTAAAAATTCATATAAAAAAACTATTAACCCTGCCCCCCATTTCGTTCCGGATTAGCATAACTAAAAATTACCGTGGCTCATATGCACCTGATTATAGGTGTGTAATCCTTGCAAGATTGCATGCAAAGTACATTCCATTATTGTTTTTCTGCCAAATATTTGTTCACAGAGTCAAGAAAGCATATTTAGTTCGTTTTTGATAGATGAAAGGATAGACGTACAGTCGTAACTCGACGTACGAAATTAATTCGTTCTGTAACCACACTCGTATCTCTAAAGAATTTTTTTACATATGAATATATACATTGAAATGCCATTAATTTGCTTCACTGTGCACTATGGTTTTTGTTATGAATGTTTTTCTGGTCCATTCATGATATCGCGGAAATTAGTTAAGACATGTTTCGTTGAACAACTCTCATGCTCGAACTGTTGCGACTTTTTCGGGGTGATTTTTTCCACCTTTAGAACTTAGAAATCATTGTAAGGCCATTGTCTGGATTTATATTCTTTATCAACTCTTCCTGTTTAAGGGGTTAGGGGTACTTGGAATTTTTGAAAAATCGATTTTTATTTTTTTGCATTTTCATTAAGTGTAATATCCTGAAAATGTTCTGAAAATTTCAAGTTGATCCGATGATTACTTTTTGAGTTATTGGACTCTTACCAGCGCGCTGACGAGAGTGGATAGCACGATACTTATACTCAAGATTAGTCTCCCTTACCTCCTGATGTTTTAAAAGCTTTTAAACCGATTTACGACGATCTCAGCAATGATAATTTACTTTCAAGATGTGTAGTTCAAGATTGAATCCATAATCAGAAAAAATTAAAAGCTTCAACCAACTAGTGTAAAAAATATGACAAAAAACCGTGAATACTAGTTCTACTATCGTACAAATTGCTGATTGCATATATATAATCATTATTATTGATTATGGATACCCTAGAACCCAATTGTGGGTATAATTCCCATTGGTATGCTGAAAAATTGGATGCTGCACGTATGAAAGTGGCAGATCAGCGCGCCAACGAGAACATTCGGGAGGCCAGAATGCTTCGTAGGCAACGGCAAATGGAAATTTTGGAAACTTGCACAATGACTGATGAACTAATATATGGCCTAGAAATAGATGACTCGGTTTAAGTAATTCAATAATTCGAATTTCTGTACGTAAATCCAATGTGAAACTTTAAACGCGTTTTTCTCAAAACTATGTTTTCTGAACCGGTGACCACTGTAACTAAAAAACCGCTTAGTAAATTTTAATGAAATTTATACAGCTTTTAGAATACATAATAAACTCGGGCCCGATGGAAGATTTTTTTTTTTCAAAGATTTTTTTTTTTAAACAGGGTCAACAAAAACAGCTATAACTTTGGGAATATTTATTATTTTTTTCTAAAAATTTTGTTACTTCAAGTCAAAACATTGTATAATAATGCCGTATTAATATTTTTTTAAAAAAACATTGTTTAATAACAAAAAAAAAATACTGAAAATTCTCATTTTTTGGGCCTCCAAGTACCCCTAACCCCTTAAACACAGCCATACTCATATTTCACGTCTAATTCAAGAGACTTGGCCCTTACATAATATTTTGTAAATGTGCAAAAAGCATGAAATCGTACACTCAACATCTTGTATAACTGGAACAATCAGTATTAATGACTAACTATAAAACAATTTACTATCATAAAACAGCCAAAATATTTATATGGTAGGAAAATCATTGTTACAACTGACGAAATTTTTCACATTTTCATATTGCCATTAACATTTTTCGAGAAAGCTCATATCTCGAATTGTGCACGTATGTTGGAGCAACAAATCGCTCCTTTGGTGGCATGTATTGATAGTGAGTGCTTTATTTTTCGTGAACTCTTCTTTGACTTTGTTACCTTGATTATAAAGTACTTGAAGTGATCAACACATTGACTTGCTATCAATATTCTTGGGTCAAATTTGGGTAATTCTAGTTTCTTTATTTGATTTTGATTGGAATATTAATTATTCTAATCTAGCGAAAATCACCGTGCATTAGGTAAGTGGCATGCAATTTTGTTACTGCCCTCCTCTACCCATTTATTCCGCATTGATATTGCGTTGATTCAAATAGTCTTACGTTATGTTCATTGTGCTGAAAGCGTGTTCCAATTGAATGTTTCAATCCATTTCAATTCGTCTGTTGGATGCTGTTGTAAAAGAGTTAAAATCAAAACATTCCTCGAATATACGAAGACAGATTAATTTATTATTGCACAGATTGCTGATCTTGCACATAATATATGATTTTTCAGCGTCATTTTTTGTGGAGCTGTTGCTGTTGTTAAAGGTTTGTGTGTTTGAAGAAAATAAAAGTGAAACATAAACAGAATCAAAGTTGAAGGCAAACTGAAGACGATCGAGACGAGATTCTAGCGTTATCGGCGGTTATTTTTAAAAGATACAATTGTTTAAAAAAATGTTTATTAATCAGTAAGTTATTAGATTTGTTGTGTGGTACACGTGTTTAGTAAGTTCTAGAATTTTTTTATTTGAATAATCTGTATTACACGAAGTTTTCTGCTATTTATAAAGGTAATTGTTATGTAGATTATTTACATTATAAATGAACACGCGAAGAACTTTTTTCTGAATATTTACAAGATACTTTATTGTTACATTTTTATATTATTTTATATGAATCATTCAATGGTTACCCGCTAGATATTGGTAACTCATACCAGAGTTATCACTCCGATACAATTGCTCTCTCGGAGTGAATCCGAGTGGAGTTGTCTCGCCGGATATGTCATATCCGACTTTCCTAAACTGGTACTAAATCTGCTACTGCGTTTTTGCTTTGGGAAGGAAGCTGTCGCTTTCCCGTCTCACAGGCAGTTTTATGACCTTTATGAAATTATTACTTCAAAGATACAGAATAATGAAATTGTGTTCAAGTGTGAATAGCTCCAATGTTTAATTTATTGAATAGTAAGGGGTCATATTTCTAACTACGACAATCTTTGGCTGACAATCAGGAATATACATACCGAAAAATACATGAAACGAAATACATTTAATCTGGTTTTTCCATAGCCTGAAATAACAATACTTTAGAGTGCAAAATATATCAGTGACGTCAATAGTATTTAATATAAAACTTAAATCTAATATTTTAATCTTACAAAAGTTCTTTCCATGTTCAATGACAATTTCCTTCGAAAACATTTTCAAAATAAAAATCTACATAAATAAAAAATACATATCTACAGTTTAGCCTTCTTAACAAAGAACGAAGTAAAAAACCTAGTAAAGTTTCATTTTCTAGCCATTTTTTTTATTTAACTAGAATACAGCATAGTATCATGGTAATCAAATTAGACCAAAGAAAATATCATGATTACTTCACTAAGAGAAGCCAACTTGATCTTTTTAGACATGAAGCATGAATGGTTTTATATAATACTTTTTACATTATGGTAAAAAACCGTCACTTAAACTTAAAAATAAAATCTAAAAAAGATTAGAAAATGATCAGAATAGATGCAATTTTATTATTTACTTTATTAGAACCACAGTAATAATTAGCTTGCAACGAATAGTATATTCGGCATGCTCCCGAGACCGAATACCGAATATTCGGCAGGTTTTTGGGGCCTAAGCTTGTTTGTATTAATATAATTATTATCAGTAATTGTTATATTAGTAACGCGCCACATATTTATTTGTGTTATGCCTTGACTTACAACCACTATTTGGCTACTTTTTGTTATTTGGAATATTTGGCACCATTTATACTATTCGGCCGAATACTTGAATACCACATAAGAAAATAAATGGTATAACCATGAAAAAAGCGATTCTTCGCATATATATTCAAATGCGTTTCCAATTATTTCGTTCATAAACATTTAATATTTTTTTATAAACTCAATATTATTTCTTGAATGCTAATCATAATAAAATAAAAACTGATCAAAAATATTATTTGTATATTTTACGATAAAGAGCCAGTAATAGCTCTTTCTTAGATTGAATATAAAGAATAATTTTATTTTATAGAAATAACACATGCGGGTAATAGAGATGAGCTTATCATATCCGAAGCCGGATCAACTCGGATTTGACTCCGCTTCATGGTGGAGTTATATACGCTTAACAACTCCACGACTCCGACAACTTTGATCTAAGGATTTGTCAAATCCCATTTAATTTTTTGAAATGAAAATTTATGAATAAAATAAAATTAGAAAAATATCAATAAAATAATTGTTCTAAAAAATTCATAAATAAATGACGAGTTGTAAAACTTTTCGGTCGACCACATGATCGACTCAATGACTCGTAATTTTAATAGTGTTGACCAAAGTAAAAACGCAAAACTTGAGAATCAAATTCGATTTAATTATTTTCTTTTGATGAGAAAATAATTGATTTTTTGGATTAATTTTATATAAAAATAATGTAGTAAATTTTGTAATAAAAGCAAAATATTTATCATAAAATATTTACATCAAATAATAATACTTCTGGTTTCTAATTTTTTCTTCTGGTATTTCCATTCGAGAATTATATAATTGTGTATAAGTAAACGTTTAATACTAGATATTTTTTAACTTCCCGTAGGGCAAGTTATAGTAATCGCAAAAAAATCAAAAATGAAAAATTTTATATATCTTTACGTTTCAGAGGTTTCTGAACATTTTGGCATATTTTAGAAAAAATGGATGTATGTGTGTGTGTGTATGTGTGTATGTATGTATGTACGTGTGTGTATGTAGTGCGGATACAAATTTTCGTCGACGATTTCGGGAACACGGATCAACCGATTTGAATAATTCAAAAAACATTCGATTCGTATTGATAAGGAGACGTGCTGATTAGTTTTTGGCGAAGGCAGGTCTAGCCGGTCCGAAGATACGGGGCAAAAAGTGCCGAAAACAGTAACTCAATTTTTAAGAGAACGGAGCGTCCGATTTGAATAATTCAAAAAACATTTCACTTGTATTGACAAGATGAAGAATCGATAAAATTTTCATGAAGGTAGGTCTAGCGGTTTCGAAATATGGAGAAAAAAGTAAAAAAATGAGCCATTTGGCGGTCAAAAATGATCATTAGACATATGCACATCAAATTATCAGATATTTTATAGAGATTGTAACAATAAGTATACATTTTGTTAAAATTTCTATGGGTTCCGTATCAATGCTTATGCATTAGATAGCGACGCGGCGCTTACGCGCTTTATATTTTGTCCCTATGCAGTTAAAGCAATACGATTGCTTTGAAAAAAAAGTTCAGATCTTCCACAATATGTCAAAATAAAGAAAAAAAAATTGTTCCAAAAAAAAAAAAATAAAACTTTTTTTTTTTTTTTAAATTTTTTTCGAAAAAAAGTATTTTTTTGTCCAATTTATAGTTTCTCAAAAATCTTATTTTTTCAAAGTAATTTTTTTTCAAAAATGTTAATCGTTTTTAAAAAAATAATAATTTTTGGTACGGGAAGTCCAGCAATTTGCCTTAAGGCACGATGCGTTAATTGCCTTAAGACAGAATTCCACTTACAGCTAGTTGCTGCTTAAAATGATCAAATTAAAGTTATCAAATATAGTGGGCTTTATGGGACATTTTGCTTTAATTTATTGAAATGGCTAAATGTATCAATATTTGTTATATATATTTTTATTTAACGGTTATGAAAGTTATGGCAAATAATTTAAGTTTATTTTTAACCATTATCCTGCATCAAGATTTATTCAGAATGGATCTGTTAACTAACTTTTTGAAAAAATCATCTCGATTAAATAATTTAGTCAAAGAGATAATTTAAATTTTTAAAAGAAAAAAGTTATGTTTTTTATATATATGAGAATTGCGTAATTATGTTTGTGTAATATGTTTGTTTTACATAGGTGGTCCAAAGCGACAAGTTGCCCCAGCAAGTATGCGAGCCGTGTCTGGCGCATCTAAACATTGCAGCTTCCTTGAAGCGGAAAGCAATTGCTTCCTGCAATATGCTTTCGCTATTAGTTGGAGTTTCTGCAGATTTGGAGACCAAGCAAGGCAGTGATTCTAACATGAAAAAGCAGAATATCGGAGATAAGGAAATGGCGAAAACCATGATAAGACTTGTAGATGAAATAGGTAAATCTTATGGCTTTTCACGATTTGGACGGCCGAAAAGTTTCGATAAACCGACCAGCTTTTGTGCCTTATGATACATTTAAAATTACTTAATCACGCAATAGTAGAAGTGTTTAAGTAAATGATACTCAAATAATTTACGTTTTGTTTTGACAATACCATAACATGGCTTGTATTAAGATTTATCAATTAATTTTGATCAATTTAGACAGATATTTAATTGCTATCAGTATTTGTAAATATATAGCGTGCTTACATTACATTTAATAGCTTAAAATTTGTTAAAATTATTTCAAAGGTATGGAAATGGCCGTCGTCAAAGAAGAACCGATTGATAATGATATCGTAATCAAAGAAGAAGTAATAGAAGAATCTGAGAATATAATCCAACCGTCAACTGAAGTATCTGAGGAAGAAGAGTTTCCAGGACATATACAGACGTACGAAGCGGATGGCGTCAAATATGAGATTGTTGACATGATAGATCCGGCCTCCCCTTCAGAAATGATTGAAGTCGACGAAGAATATGTTGAGGAGGTTGACATGGATAGAATTAACTATTCGGCTGTTGACGATGACGTTAGCTCACAATCTATGCTGAAAAATTCTACGAATGATGATGAAACCATTTTGTTAGACGACTTCATAATTGATGAAACTCAAAGCATTTGCGATGACAATGAAGGGCAAGATGAAGTTATTCAGGTGGAAGATAATTTAAATGAAGACTTAGATGATTCCCTTGATAAATCTGATAACATCTCAGACGCGATTATTCAAGATCCTGAAATACCTACCGTAGAGTTCATACTCCCGGTTGATGATGGAACTGTTCCGAAGAATTCGCCGAAAAAAAAGCAAAGAGTTATCATTGATGGTAAGCCGGTGCATATTAACATGCCCACTATAAAAGTATATGCCTGCGACATGTGCCCTTTCCAAACTGATATGCGACATAAATTAAATACACACATGAAAAGACATATGAATAAGTTGGATTATAAATGCCAATTCGAAGGTTGCAACAGCGCGTTTTTATCACAAGGGTTGTTAACGGTACACGAGCGCAAGCATACTAGGGACAAACTTCCCACATGTGAAGTATGTAGTAAAACTTTTATAAACAAAGTTGGCTTATTGAATCACATGTCCTATATTCATAAAGGGCTGAAGAGGTTTCTTTGTTCGGAGTGTCCTACGATGTTGGCGAGTGCGACCAGCTTGCGCCAGCACATGTCCATTCACAAAGGTACCAGAAATTATTTGTGTGACGAATGCGGAAAGAGTTTCCGAATGGGGAAGGCATTGCAATCGCATATGGAAACTCATACTGAGCAAAGACAATATGCTTGTACGCACTGCGAAAAAACTTTCAAACAGAAAAGTGTATTGCAAAAGCATGTGCGCGTCGTTCACACTGAATCGAGTAGAAATAAATTTACATGTGAAACGTGCGGTAGAAGATTTCCTTATCCATATTTACTACACCATCATACCACAGTTGCTCATCCCGATAATCTTCATATGTGTGAAATTTGTAGTTGTCGATTTCTGCAGCCAGAAGCGCTGGAACAGCACATGAATTTCCATAAAAATCCTGGCGAACGACAGTGCGGACAATGTTTGCGCGTTTTTCCTCAAGATGAAGATTTGATTACTCATGAATGTAAGAGTTCCAAAAGCAACTTTTATTATTGCTATAGATGCCATATCAGCGTTCAAGGTGCACATTTATTCGATATTCATAATAGGCACGTTCATGATCTGAAAACGTTAACAATACCCAAAAGGAATCGTCCACGTAAATTTGACGATGTGGGCGAGGAAGTGGTTAAAGTTGAATGCAATAAATGCGGAAAAGTTATGTCCAGTGGTCGTCTTGAAACTCACATGAATACACATCATAATGCAGATAAATTCTTGTGCAAAATTTGCAACAAACGTATGAAGACTGTAACATCGTTTACCAGGCATAAGCAGATGCATACCGGAATCAAGCCGTTTAAATGTGATATTTGCCCACAAACGTAAGTAAACAGTAATTAAATTTAAATTTACTTTATCATTAATATATAGATTAAATGAAATTCGCAAATTTCAGATTTTTCCAAAAGACGAGTTTAAATTTCCACCGGATGGAACATACCGGCGAACGACCCGCTAAGTGCAAATTGTGTCCAGCCGCCTTCAAGCGATTTGGCGATCTCAGGGTACATGAACGAAGACATCAATATTCCGGGGCCACTATGCGAGGCAATAAAGGACAAAGAAGGGTTCAAACTCGGCCCCAATCACATGAACTGCAGGAAATGACAATAGTTCAAGTAATTATTAAAAACTTTTTTATATGAAAATCAGAAAAAGCATTTAAACAATAACTTTATGTTCTTATATCATAGATTGAAGATATTAAAACAGATCCGGAAAACAGTATAATTGAAGTAAATGAGACTATGGTGTATGAAGACGATGGACAAGAATTTGATGAAGAAACTTTTGAAATAGATCAGCATGCCGTTATTGAAGAACTGGATGAGTTGAATGATCAACAAGTGTATGAGGAATTGATTGACTATGAAGGTATGATAGTTATAAACAAGGATTCTTTGGATTCGTCAATTTTGACAATGACATGAATAGATCGCTGTAACAATATCGTAGATAATAATTTTATACAAATATATTACACTTACCGATTATCAACCACGTTTACTTCTAATCTTAGCAATTGAATATATTTGTGTTAGTTAAAAAAAAAAATGTTTTCATCCCTGATATTTAATAGAACATGGTAACAAAAATGTAAATACAACGACAAAAACTTTGTTGAAGTTTTATAATTTGTTCACCATGTAATGTTACATGATTTAATAATTAATTTAAATGGATCATTTTATTATTACGTATTAGTTGTAAAATTTTCCTAGATAATTCATATTAAGAAGTGTGTTTTTTACTGAACTATGATGTTTTAATATGAAATTAAGTTACCATATTTTTTTCTAAATTCAGCTGAATATTTTATAAAACATCAGGAATTTATTATTAGAATGGATCAATTTTAAACAGTAGTTACTATTAAAACTTAAGTTTTATTTTGAAATTTATTTATTATTATATAAGACTAATATGGACTAAAATCTTGTAGAATGGCTTGCCATAAAACACTTACATGTTTAGGATATATTTGCAATAAATATGGCCTCTTAACTTTTATATATATTTACATGCATAATGTATAATATTCATAAAGTTATTTTACTTTAATATTAAATACCATAAGTAATTTGGAATCTTGATTTTTTAAATCATTTATTGATAAAAAAAGTGTATGTTCCATATAATAAATAATATAATTATAATGATGCATTATATCAGTTAGCTGCCGGCTTTTGAATAACGTTTCCAGAATTTTTTTACAGGCTCATGTCCCTCTTTTGTCACAACACAAGTTCTTGTGCGGTCATTATGCCACACAAGAACATCCATTTGCTGAGCATAATCTTTTAAAGCACTATAATCCACCTAGAATGAAGAAAAGTGAAATTATATTAATTCAAATTATTTTAACAAACAATAGCAACATACCTGAGATAAAAATTGATTGTAAACCACGCCTTCTGTATATGTAAACCTATTCCTTTCATTCTCCCACAATCTAATTTGATCAATAACAGTAGCGGGTAATGCAGAATTATTGTTAATTGCTGATTCATGCATCATCTATAAACATACACACTGTTTATATTTATTTATAAATCAATGATAATAAGTAAATTACCGATGGATGAGAATGCAGTTCAAGATAGCTGATTATCTGATCTGCTGTTATGCCCCCTCTCAGTGCTTGACGAACAGAGTCTCTTGTTAGGACGCCCACAACTAGATTAGGAAACCTACGAAGTAAAGTCTGTAGTTGGCCTCACATTTCTATAATGACTATATGATTTTCTAAAATAACACACCTATAAAGTAATTCTGTAAACAATCCTAACAAAGCGACTTGTAAGGAACTATTAGTATAGGCATACACTCTGTAGTTTGTTTCTACAATTATATATCCAGTTCGTTGTTGAGATTCCTTTTCATTTGAGCTCGACTTTTGCTCATTAGCACTTGATTGAACTACATTTAATGAGTCTGTTGTACCTGTTCGATGAGCTGTCAAGTTAATTGCCAAACGTGTTGGATAAAATCTTCCAGCTTTTCTCTATAATTGTCCACTCATCATAATATATTTATTTTTATTTTAATATCTTATATTATACCTTTCTTTGATATACCAATCCAAATTCACGTAAATGTTGCAAAAATGTCAATAATCCTTGAGAAAGGCCCTCAGTACTGTAATCTCTTCCCAGTGTGCTGAAGGATAATTGAAATAGAAGTCCTAAGCATTCTATTAAACATAAGCCTTTTGATTCAGCAGAATCTAAATATTTGAGCATGAAGTGCCAAACTTGGCTTGGAGTGTCTAGAAGCAAAAATTGAAAACCTAATCTTGATATTACAGCTGCACCATCTTCTTCATCTCTGAATTAAAAATGTATAATATATGATAAAATAAAAAGATATATACATATAATAATTGTGTGTTGCAAAGAGATGCTCATTGCCAAAATTATTAACTCTATTCACAGGTCGCTACAAATTTAACATTTTGATCTTCGGCTAATTAACATCAGGCAAAAAGAGAAAGATTACTATAACCAAGGTAACAGAATCTCATACAAAAAATAGTATATGTATCAAATGCCAGTAATGATTTTTAATAAATTTAAAACTATATAGTTATAATACATTTTCTTATACAACACAAATTAGGATTCATTTACCTTTTCATAAGACCTGCATGCAACAATATTCGAACAGCATCTGCTGATATACCTTCAGTTTGGTTTGAACCCACCATATAATGTAAAAGGCATTCCCATCTTTGCATACAATAAGCATCCAAAAATGCTGTATCTCGTGCTTTATTATCTGCATCTAGGGAGGACATGCACCATGGTCTGCCACTGTGTATTGCCAAGGTTAATTATAAACGTTAAATTGTATTAATAGCGCAGACATATTATAAAGATCATACCCTCCTAATAAAGCAATTTTTAAGTTACGTTTAAATGTAGGTGTTAACTCCCATGCCTTGAGACCTCCTGGTATTGAGACAATTTTCCAAACATTAAGTTCTGATAGAGCATCACTTACACCCAAATGTTCTCTATATTATAAATTAAATATGAACTAAAGTTATACTTTAAGAAAACATTCAATAATCATACATACTTAGAATAAGCTTGGGTTCCCCACGATGCAACAACAGCTTGTGGAACAGGTTGTTCTACAAATAATATTCGTATAACATATTGTCTAGCTAATTCAGGCAGTTCCCTAAAATAATTTTGAAGTTTATTTGTTATCTATTAAACATAATTGGTAGAGGTATCTTCAACCAGTACCTATAAACAGCTAAGCAAATTGCAGGATGATTGTAGAGCTTTTCTAGCAATTCTGGAGGACGTGATTTTAAATAGGCGTGCAAATCTTTACATTCCAAAGTTGCATGCTTATTCAAGTTTTTAACTTTCTTTTCAGACATTATTAGACATTAGCACAAATCAGGGTGGTGTTTGATATACAATAAATATTTTTGATGAAGGTGCAACTTATATAGTCATTAAGAAACTAAATTTATTTGAAGAGCTCTGTTTTAACAAGGGTTTAATAACAATAACAGAAATGTCAAACAAGAAAAGGGACAAGAGACATGGAAATATTTTTGTTCGAAATCCTAACCATGTTTTGGTTTTAACATTCCACTTTTTTCATACTTCACAGTGCCAACATTAAAATGAAAAGCATAAAAATTAAATATTGAAAATGATAAATAAATTAAAAAATGTATATATATATCGTATGCAAACAATTTAAATAAACCCATAAAAATTTTCATATCAACAAAATTTTAACAACTAAATCAGTTAAAAATATGTTATATTTTTTACTCGTCATTAATTATTTCTTCGATGTTGCAGAACATGAAGCGATCGAAAATAGACAGATTTTTGACGTGACGTTTCATTGAATTGTCAAATGCTTACGAAATGGTTTATTAGTGTTTGCTTGTTTGTTAAAATTTTGTTATTATATTTTATTTTGAACTAAATTTATTGATAGTGTTTATGAAGTTATGTGGAGTCCAACGCATGTACAAGTGACAGGTGCGTAGAGTATATTAAAAAAAAAAAACAATAATATTATGCCTAATTATTGTCAATATTTATGATAAAACAGATATATATATATATATATATATATATATATATATATATATTCTTGCACAATTAGTTGTTCATAGATACAATCACTTTTAAAATAATATTATCTACTCAACTCTTTAAAATATTTAACCCATATATTACGAAAACTTGTCTTCATTAATCGTAACGGTACTTTATGGAATTTTGTATAACAATGATTCATATTTGAAATGTTTATCTAATTCCACAATAGTTAGTCATTATGATATGTCATTATACTAAATAAGATAAAGTGCAGCATATATTTATGTATAAAAATTTAATTTGTAAACAGCAAAAATTAAAACATTTTTGTAATTTTTAATAAAATTTATTTATTATTTTCATAATAAAGTTCAAAGAGCAAGAGGATTAATCGCAAAAGGTAAAAATGGAACAAATGATTGTTTTGTTACAATTGGTCTTGGAAAGGATAAATTTCAAACAAGTGTGAAGGAAAAATCGGGAGTTAATTTAGAATGGCATGAAGAATGTGAATTGTGAGTAAATATACATTTATATCATTTACATTTATATATTGAATTGGAATTTGGTTTAACTTTGCAAATATCAATTTTTATGCACATATTTTTATTATATTTATCTAAGCATTATAAATGAATTTTTTTTACTAACTGTTTCATTTTTTAAATCATTATTTTCACACAATGTACCTTAAATATATATATATATATATATATATATATATATATATATCTTGATGATTTTTCATATCCATATATATATATATATATATATATATATATATATTTGAATTTTAATGTAAATCTTATACATCTCAGAGAGGGAGAAGTGCCTGGTATGAGAGATCGAACAAAATATCTATACAAAGATATATATATATATATATATATATATATATATATATATATTTTCTACATATGATATGGTCATAACAACGCCCTATATCATTTATTCTATAATTCAATCATACGTATATTTATTTTTACATTCATGCTTTGGTTTAATTTATTTATCTACATTTTTTCATAATATTCTTTTAACTTAATTTCAAATTGATTCTTTTCTTTGGTCATCTTTATTTCTTTTGGAAGCTCATTGAATCATTTTGTAGCACTTCATATAGTGTTCCGCCTGGTTTTATTTGTTTTAGATGATAATTTTCCTGTTGTCTAGTATTGTGCTATTCACGAATGTTTTTACTTACAATAATTAAAGTCTAATATGCAATAATACATTATAAACAGGTCTATACGAAATGCAAATATTCATTAACTCTTGAAACTTGTTGGTGAACAATAATGCATTATTTCAATATTAATTCACAAAGTTGTTGATTGAAATAATTTTATTTTTAAATTAATTGACTAATGAATTCAATCTGAATATATAAATGACTATAATTAGCCACATTTTCCAAAACAATCAGTGCTTAATTAATATTCTGATTTTAATTCCATAATTAATTATCATTAAGATTTATATAATAAGTAAGTTTTGCATATTTGTACATATGCACATTAATGTATCATATAATTTATGTTGTATAATATAGTAATTTTACATTATTTGTGTGCAATTTTTACACATACTTTTTAAAAGTAATTAGTGAAAACATAATCCAATTAAACTATTTATATTGCTATAGAAATGTGAGATATGCTAATTTGCCTTTATATAATATTATTGTTAGCATTGTGTGATGCATGACCTATTCAAATAATTATTTAAAATTTTTAATGAAAAGTTTTTGTGAAAATCAATATTTTATATTTTGCAATTTGAACATTTCTGTAATGCAGAGTTGTATACTACATTTTATATTTCACACACAGAGCCATACCTGCTCAAGGAAACACAGCTGCTGTTGTTTTGACGGTGTTGCATAGAGGATTTTTAGGTGTTGATGAATTTCTAGGTCGCGTGAATATTCCCTTAGCTGATCTTGACGTCTATGAAAGACCACGAAGTCGTTGGTAAGTGACTTTTTGATTAAGCTTACTTTTAATTAAATTCTACTAGCTTAAGTTATTTAAAGTCGGTGATATAATCAATAATATAACTTCAAATATATTTTTGAGGGCTGTGTTTTTGCGTTGTATTTATCAACTTATGCATAGGTCAGTAATTATTTAGAGGGAAGGTTTCATAGATTCTTTATCAGTTTCAAAGCATTCTGAGTATTGATAACAGTTCATAGAATTTGTGTAAAAAGAGTTTTAATTGTTCCATATTTATGAACAAAAATGATTTTTAAAGAAATTTAATAATCTAGTCTTCATATAGATATTCTCTATATGAATTTTTCTAAGTATGTGGTTACTAATTTATTAGTAAATCCATCTTATTTAAGATATTTGAATGATATGCTTAAATTTTGTCTAGTGGTTTTAAATGTTTACTTAATACTGTTAAGAGATCATCTCGCACGTAAAATCAATACAATTATACAATAATTTGGGAATTTTTTATGTAATAATAACAATCATTACATTTATCATTATTCACTTTATCATTATTTTTATATAATTTAAAAATTCTTAATAAGTAAATCACCTATTTTTTATGTAATTAATAATAATAAACAAAGGTCATTATCAAAAGTTTTCAATTGTATAATAATATGCAGTAAGAATTCCGGATTTCTTTAGAATTTTTAAACCATTGGATTTCAGAGAACGAAAATAAAAAATTGCAAAGGATTAATTTTTGTTAATTCCTACTTGTTATAGATTGAATTAATCTTTAGTTATTTTAGCTTTCTCAAAAAATCTTAACATATCACTTGGACATCTAATTAATTATTTATATGAAGAACGTTTGAAACAATTTTCCATACCTAACGTAATAAAATGAATAAAGCCTTTTTTGTTACAGTTAAAAAGTATTTTTTACTTTAAGCTCTTGGTAGTTACCTTATCTTGAAAAATGTCTCTAACGCCGTTTTTAATATATATTTAAGTGAGCAAATTTTGGTGTAAGGCACTAATATTTATAATTATAATAGAGATTATTAATTTGGTTTCGGATATTGTAGGTACCAACTAGAAAGTAAGCCTGGAGCTTCGGAGGAAAAAAAAGAAAAAAAACGTGGTGAATTAGAAGTTCGAATACAATTTACTGTGAAGGCTGGAAGTTTAACTGATCTGAGCAAGGGAGGGAAACATAAAGGAAGCTTAGGAAAACTTGCACAAAGTGTCGGTAAATATTTTCGAATGTTTTTTTAAAAACCTTTTATTTCATTTCATTTTCGATGTTCATTTAGTTTTATTGCTGCCTATAAAATATATACTTGATAAATTATTTTCTAAAGCAAAAACTCTTAATGATATTAATTTATTGAGTTAGTAATGAGTTTATGCTCAGTAATTGCGTCAATTATAAACTTTGGTTTTGGATACGCTTGCAATAAATATTTGGCTTACTTGCAGCAAGTTTCATTAATTTCCGTTAATTCATAAATTTATATAAAATACTTGATTATGAATGTATAAAGATTGTTATTAAATACCCACTGTTTGATGATAGTTGAGGAAACAGTGGAATGCATATTTTACATTAATTAAAATTCCGATATTATGCAGTGCTCATGAAGCATATAATTTTAAATGAGTTATGTTGTTATGTAAAACACTTCAATTGAAGTGAGAGTTTTAACAAAGCCGGTAAAAGTAATAATTAATTTTTTATGTAAATATTTATTATTTATTTTTAATTTTAATGTTGTAAATTCATATTTATATTAAAACAAATTAAGAATCAGGTATAATTTAAGGAATATTTTGATTTAGAAGCATGAATTTTATGAGATTTTTGAAAGGCCATAGAAAATGTAAACAATATTTTTATTATATATTTTTTTACAAGTTTATAATTATTATTATTAGTATATAAAAACTTAAAAACAGATATGAAGCTGATGAGATGACGAAGTCGGGGATCTTAAAAAATAAGCATCTGACCATACCCATATATACATATATATATATATATATATATATATATATATATATTATGAAAGTCAATTTTTTTCATGAAATAGCGACTGCCTGAAAAAAATTGTTACAACTTTTTTAATATTCACGCATTTTTTAAAAACTGAAGTTTAAATTATTTAATTTGCTTTTCAAGATTTGTGGATTTGATTTGAACATTTCGTTCTTTGTATTTTTTAGAATGATTGCATTGATAAATAATTGCATTATTCTTATTCTATGAGAATTAATAATTCATTAAGCTATAAAGTTTTTATTCTTACTTTGCTTTGAGTTTAATTGACTCTTTTTTTAAATATACTGCAGAATAACAAACTCAAACAATAAGTAATTATTGATCAATTCAATTAATATAGATCATGCTAAAATAATAATCTGCAAATGTGCTCGATTGAATAATGCACTGGTCATGGAAACGCACAAACACACAGACCACACACACACACACATATATATATATATATATATATATATATATATATATTTATATTGTGGAGTATGTAAAGATAAGAGCGTTTTATTAATTGATACATTTTTATGGAACTTTTATATTCTGCTTGAAATATTCCAAATTAAATTCCAGATTAATATTAACGCAATAAATGTTTTTTTTACAGGAGGCAGTTTATTGAGTATAGGAACATTAGAAAATCGTAAAGGCATAAAGAAATTTGCCAAATCGCTAGGATCGCGGGTACATTTAAATCGAAAAGATAAAAAACGCAACGGTAGTGTCGACCAGGACAGCATTGGGAGCGGTTCTAGTCTGGGTTTGGACAAACCTGGTCATGTTGCAATTTCTGGCCATGGTGACGGCTTAAGTCGTGGACAGAGAGCCGGAGAGGCAGATCCTGGTGTCATAAGTGAAGATGATGATGAATTTGCGGTGAGAATATATGAATTCCTATGATTGCAGTAAAATTGTATATAAAAAAATGCATTCCATTGTATACTTATTATGCTTATTAATATCATGAATCTATAGTATCTAGATTTTGTAAAGGAAAATTTTTAAACAGCTATGATTAATGAATAATTGATAATTTTTGTTATTTGCTCTTTTTTTATTAAATCAGATAAATATATTGTCATTTAAAACTATGATCTTATGACACTTTCCAACAAAATTTAAAAAATCATATGAAAATGTTTTTTTGCAAATAATTCATATTTTTAAAAATGAATTTTTATATCTTAAAGGGTTTGAATTATGTATTATCAATCGGCTATAGCATAAACCTGATGTTGCATAAAAATTTGTGTATGTGCACCTATTAGCATTTTTAATAATATTTACATTTTTTTGTATGCAGTTTGACGACTTATCTCACAAGTCATCAGGAAGTTCTCTTAATACAAACACAAATTCTGCAAATCAGACATCTCCTAAGCTGATAAACTCAAATCCTCCTCTGAAACGTCCAAATTCGTTCACCATAAAGTCTGATGAAAATGGACCTGATTCAGCAGACAACAGTCCTGTACCGGCGGCTAGAACAAGCAAAACATTGCCTAGAGTTTCAAGTACCCCCTCAGCTAACAAAAATGACAATGTTCTTGATGAATGGGAGCAGAAACTATATGGACGTACTGGTAAAAATAAATTATTTATTCTGAATATCTGCTATATTTAATATGCTTTTTAAGTCTTACATCAATCCATGTTTCATTTATAGTACTAATCCTTGGATTGTAGGCATAGTATTGAAGCAATATGTAGTTTTAAATAACTTCTCGTAAAAAAAAGTTTCCGCCAGAAAATCCGATTTGCTAGTTTTATTTTCTTTACGTTTTAAGTTGATCTGAATCGTTTGACATCAAAATTAAAAAAACTATGTTAGCCAAAATTTAGCTTTTAGACTATTTTCTCCTAAACCTTTAAAAGTTTGTCCTAAACATCAAACTATCTGCACTTAATTAAACAAATAACTAGTTGGTATTGGTATTTTGCCTTGAGGCAAAAATGTGTAAATAATTGACTTAATCAATAAAATATAAATTAATTTATGAGTGAATAAAAGTATTTTGAGTGGATTTATCACACTTTATTGGCAACAAACAAACACTCTATCGTTATATCAAGTAAATCGTCTAATTTTAATTTTAACAAACATAAAAAAACTACTCATTTTCTCCAATTTTGATAAATTTTCAAAATGAAACTACTCGTCGTATATATATGATATATATCGCCAAAAAAAGTTCCATAAAAATCGTCTTGAATTTTTTTCAACAGTTAATTACAAGAAAACGGTTCGGTATTTTGCCTTGAGGCAAAAATGTGTAAATAATTGACTTAATCAATAAAATATAAATTAATTTATGAGTGAATAAAAGTATTTTGAGTGGATTTATCACACTTTATTGGCAACAAACAAACACTCTATCGTTATATCAAGTAAATCGTCTAATTTTAATTTTAACAAACATAAAAAAACTACTCATTTTCTCCAATTTTGATAAATTTTCAAAATGAAACTACTCGTCGTATATATATGATATATATCGCCAAAAAAAGTTCCATAAAAATCGTCTTGAATTTTTTTTCAACAGTTAATTACAAGAAAACGGTTCGGTAGATTTTCACCTAACACTAATCAGTATCATTCCCAACTATTATCTTTCAAACAGTTTTTGATTTTTTTAATTCGATTCGGTAGTATGAGCTTAAATGTGGACGAAAAGTTTAACACCTTTTTCAAAATTACAAAGAAACGGTTTGCAGATCGTCGCACAAAACTGACAAACGATAGTCCTCATTGAGCTATATCAAATGCCAAAAAAAACGATAACAATTTTTGCAAACTTTGAAGAATTTTTAAAGTTAAACGGATTCTTCTTCGGGAAGGTAAAAAGCTTTTCTAAATTATGATTAGTTTCATTTTTTTTTAATGCTTTATAAGTCAAATTATAATTTATCTATTATTAGATGGGGCTGCATTGCCAGGTAGCACGGATTCTTTAAAACGTCGATCATGGATACCTCCTAGTTCAAACGCGGAGATAAATGCTGAACCTGAAAAGTCTTCAAATTCACCTATGAATAATTTGAACAATTCTTCAGCTTCTTCCAGTAGTCTTTCAAAATCATATGATAAATTGGATTCACTAAGTTCTTCTCCAAAAATAGGAGATATTAGTTCCACTTTTATTGAAAATGAGTCTAAATATAATATAAAAAATAAATCTCAAACATTAAAAGAAGATATCAAGGAAAGTTCTCGAGGCTTATTTGCAAATAAATTACGGAAATTTAAGAAAGGTGAGAAGCTTGTGTGAATATATGAATTTAAAATTATTATAGTTTAATTTTAACATTTAATTGATTTTTTATAATTTCACATATGAGTTTTCATATTTTATTCAGCTTTAGTAATTAATAAAATATTTTATTTTTTATTGTTTTGTATGTGATTTGTTTTATTATTTAGTTTGATTTAAATTTCAATATGAATTGTTTTGCTTATTTTAAAATTCAGATAAGCATGCAGATGATCATCATGTAAACGAAAGGATAATAATTGGAGGAGAAAATGAAAATGTAAAATTGAAGAAGGGCAGTACCGTTCCTAGGGAAATTCTGCAGATGTTTGATGGAAAATCCAGAGAGGTACTACTATACATTACTGTTTTGAATTGTTAATAAAACTACATTTTTAAAAAATGAATAGTTTTATCACAGTTTTTGTCATTTTAGGATATCATATTAACAGCACATAATTTGCAAGCAGAAGTGCAGTCATATAAGCAAAAATGCCGAGAACTAGAGGATTATTTAGATTCTCTACTCTTACGAGTAATGGAAACCACTCCTAGAATTCTACAAAATCCTTATACATCAAATGCAATATCATCCAGAACATCAAAACATAGTTCAAGGTAAGTAAAATTATAAACATTCATTTAAATACATTAAAATTATTATAAATTCATTAAAATGGCAATAATTAATTTTATTAAAAACAAATTTATTATTTATTAATTTAATTATTATTTTTTCTGTCCATTTTGATGATGCGTTACACGCTCGTCCATCTTTGCCATTCTGATATTTTTCAATAATTCCGTACTTTATTTCCAGAAACATGGCCCTTTTTTTAGTAGACTCATATAAAATTTTTATTGAACGTACAAAAACCAAAAAACGCAAACATGGGTAAATCGTCCCTACTCAATTAATATTAATGTATAAATTGAAATGATTAGCTATAAACCAATTTACTATCATAAAACATATATATATATATATATATATATATATATATATATAATATATAATTTGAATACATGCATATACATTTTATTTAATTATATATGTTATTCAATGTAGCGGCTGATCTTCTTTAACATTGGCGTTAAGATAACTCTAACTGCAACACTTTGTCACAATTTGACATTATGTAAGTACATAAATTGAAATGAATCTTGAATGGAACATAACTATTAATGTATGATAGATATTTTAATCTTAGTGCCTTTCGTAAGAGCCTTAAAGAATATTTTGACATTTTAATATTATTTAACAGTTTTATAAATGAAAAATTATATATATATATATTTATATGTATGTATATATATATAAATATACATACATATATAGATACAGGTTTCAGCAATCAAATTGAAGAAATGTATATATGATTCTTTTATAAAACTGTGAATTCCAGTCTTTTATAATATTTATTATGATTCAAATTAGATTAAGTTAAAAAATATAGTTTTAAAAAAATCTATATACATATATATAAATATGATATTTTAAACACAATTATTTAATTTTGGATATATTAAATATATACATATCATTTTTGGTGCTAATTATATTAAAAATTACTAACAAGAAACCATCCTGTTTATGCACTTGTATAGTTACATTAATTTATATCTGGAGTGCACAAATGTATTTGTATCAGTTTTTAACTTTGAATAAATTATATTCTATACATATGAAAATGGTGTATGTATATAATCAGAAAGAGAAGACAACACTGATAAACTATCATTATGCTCGTTATTGACGGATTTGCATAAATCTTCAGCTAAAGCACATTGTAGTCCTGTGTGATCCATTATCATTGCATTATCACATTCTTGAGAAAAGTTTTGCAAATTTTGATGCATACCTAAAATATTAAAATTAAATATATACTAAAATATCAAATTAATACTTTCATAATTAACTTCCTGAAGGAGGTTTGTTATCACAATAAAAAACAGATTTGCTATTTTTGTGCTTTCTCAACATTTCAAGTCATTTTGAATCGAATGAGACCAAATTTGGAGAAGTGAGTGTGTATATGTGGGCTACATTTTGGAGAAGTGAGTGTGTGGATATGTGGGCCGACATTTTAGCTTTCGTCGACGTTTTCTCAAAAACGGCTAGATCGATTTCAAAAATTTAGTCATTCGATCTGATTCGACAAAGTCGTTAGCCAGTTTTGCCCGACGACCGACCGTTTTAACCCACAATTTTTGTTCGATTTTTAAGAATTCAAAAACTGTTCAAAAAATTTTATTAACTTCCCATAGGGCAAGTTATAGTAATCGCAAAAAAATCGAAAATGATTTTTTCTATATATATATATGTTTTAGAAGTTTCTGAACATTTTGGCATACCTTAGAAAAAATGGATGTATTGTGTGTGCGGATACAAATTTTCGTCAACGATTTTGGGAACTTAAATAACTAATTTAAAATTTTAAATTCCTCAAAAATCTAATTTTTTCAAAGTTTAAAACATATTTAATCTTTTGAAACTTTGTATGGCAATAGATTTCACAGTCTAAAATAACATACCAAAATATTATAGGCCTAGGATAAGCAATAAACTATAAAAATTGACCAAAGTTCAGAATTTAGTCGCTTGAGCGATTCTGATCATATAACTATCTACGAACAAAACATATATCTATTCTTTGTTTGTATGTAGTTACTGATTACAGTTAACGTCCACACTTATATAAAATACATTTTAAGAATCCGAAATGGGTGGAATGAAATGTGCTAAACAAATTAATTGAATTTATACAATTACAGATATTATAAGTATGTTTGATAAACATCATTTGAAAATTGCATTGGTTAATTCTTTTATGTATTTGTATCGATGTATATTTAATGCAATTGCCTTAAAGCAAAATGTTACTCACAACTAGTTTATATTCCACTTACCTTGATTCATATTTACATGCATTGAATTTACGCCAGAGTTATCAGGAAAAGCATGGGGAATATCAGCTATCTTTGAAGTATCATTATTTTCTAAATAAATAACCTGATGATTTGATGGACCATTTAAATCTATTGTAACATATTTATCAACATATGTTTTAGACATGGTTTCATCTACGTATTTCAAACAGTTACTGCTTGTAATATTCATGGCATCCATTTGCTGCTTGTTTGGCCACAGACCCTAATAGAAAAACTCAATATTACATCAATCAACCAATTAGTCATTTGAGTTAATCACCTGATATGTTATTTCATTTGATTGCATATAATCTCCATTTAAATCAGAAACTATTTGTTTCATGGCTTGTTCCTTTGTGGACATTTCTACAATTTGTGATGTTTCTGCATCTATAAGATTTATTATTGTGTTTTGGCCATTTGGGTGCAACTTATCATCAAATTGTGCTTTGTCTATTTCTCCACTGGTGATATCAGAATTCCATTGCATATTCATGTATACTTCGTTATGGAAACGTTTATCTATATATTCTGCAAAATAATCTTCATTAAAATATCTTGAAATATGATGAATAAAACCAAGTTTTTATTAACAACCTATAATAACTCGATGAGAAGCAATAATCCTATCACAAATAATTAAACAAAAAGATTAAAAAATTTTGTTCTTGTTCTTAACAATAATTTAATTTATAATTAAATAACATTAAAAAGTAAAGTTTTTGGAGAAACAATTTTCTATGCTCATACAAACCTTGTTGTGTTTCCATTTGAATGTTTTCCCTTCATCATTCTTTTTTAAATCATTCAATGTTTGTGGGTTTTTTGTTTTTAGATCTCCATGTCTCTGCAATTCATGTCTTCTCAAATGCGAACTACGTTTATAAGCTTGTTTGCACCATTGGCAAGCATATGGTCTTTCATTTGAATGACAGGATTGCAAATGCCTCGACAATGCACTTTTCACTTTGAATTTTTTTGGACACATTTCACATTGATGCTGACAATCCTATTAAAAAGTTTGAATTCAAATAATTTAATCAATGCAAGATTTATTTTTCAAAGCAGCTGTGAGTAGATGATATGAAAGAATTTACCTTATTATGAGCATACAAAATATGTTCTTTCAAGGCACTTGCATTTCGAAAAGCCATTCCACATTGGTCACATATTATCGGACGTTCAGAAGTATGAGATATTAAGTGTCTTCTTAGATTAAAGCTGGACTTTGATGAAAAATCACATAACTCACACGAATAGCGAGCTTAAAAAGAAACAATATACAACAGTTATTTTTCACTGTATTTATTATCATTGATTACCTTCGCCATGACTTCTTTTCTTGTGCTGTGTCAAACTAGTTCGTTTAGTAAATATTTTTCCACATAGATCACATATAAGACTTAAATTTTCTTGTATGACATCAGTGATATTTTCATTTTTCTCTTCACTTATATCATTTATTTCATTTAAATTACATTCTAAAGTATTTTTGTGACTTTTTATGTGAAGTTCTAAAATGTTTCTAGTTTTGTACGATGCCTTACAAACTGGGCAAGATAATAAATTATTAACTGAAAATAAAATTATCGAATTTATTAATGAAAAAATAGGCTATCAAATAAAATGGTTATAATTTCTCACCAGCATGTGCTTGCATATGATTTTTTAACTTTTTCACTCTATAAAATGTTCTTGGGCATATAAAGCATTTTAAAGTTGATTTTTCGAGACCCTCTATATTATGCACACTTGCATCAGGGTCACTATTTTTATTCGATGATTGATTCTTATGTTTCAAAGCCAGTTTTTGATTGGAAAATGTCATAGGACAGTCGAGACATTTATATTTATTATGATTCTAAGCAAAAATTATTGAAAAATTAATAAATAAATAATATGCAACTGTAACATTGTATTGTTATGTAGAATATTATAAAAAAATATTAATATAAAAATATAGTAATTGGATATTGTTGACAAATTGATCGATGACGTTATTCTTAATGTTCTAAATAATAAATATTATCACTATTAAATTATTATGATTGAAAAATTGTGAAAAGTATAAGATACAAATTGATTGCCTTCATACTTTATGGAATTTTGATATGTTATAATATTTACGAAATAAATGTATTATTACATTTAACTATAATTAACATCATTTTATAATAGGTAAAAACTATTGAATTACAAGGCTCTGTAACATATTGTGTAATAAAAATATGTACCTATTATCCGAAAGTGAAATTGAAATTACCTTTAGATGTATGCCTAGCTGCTGTTTCTGCATAAACACAAGATCACATTTACAGCATTTATATCCACCATCATGATTAATGGATAAACCAGAAGATAAATCTGAGGTATCTGAATAATTATCATCAGTTTCTTCATTTACAAGTAATTCAGTTTCATAAGTATTAGTTTCAATTAGACTTGTATTGGATTGTGGATTATAATAGTTATTTTCCTTTTCAGATTCTCTACTGGTTTTGATATGTTTGAAATACTTAATTTCTTTTAAACATTTTGTTTTAAATCCGAGTTTTTTATGTTTATAATGAACAATAATACTTCTGAATTGTGGCATATTTACAACTCTTAGAACTCCTTTCGTTTTCATATCCATATAATACTTGGCACCAAACCTTGTACTCTTTGAACTACTTTTCATAAAATCATAATGTTTATTATTGAAAAAAATTGGAATCATTGTCAATCCATTGCTTTTCAAGTTTTTTAAAATACATTGTTGCAAGAATGTTATAGCTTTATTTATATCATCTTGTTGGAAAAGACTCATTTGTTTTATCACCATTTTAATCTGCAATAATCAAAATGTAAATAATTTTGAACAATATAAACAAAGTATACTTTGTACCTGATGTTTTAGTGCCTTTAGTGTTATATCAGGAACTGAATTCATATTCATAGGTATTTTATATAAACAGTATTTGAAATTAATGTTTATTGACCAAATATGATAACGTTTACAATTATTTGATAATGTTAAAGCAAATCATGACATTTCCTAAATTTTTCAAATGAGCAAAGTCATTTGGCGAAAGTTGTCACACCTGTTATTTTGACATGGCAGTTCGTAGTATACTTCATACGTGTGTTCGGCTTTGAATTGCAAAAAAATATTTTTATTATTTATTTGTTGACGTACAAGGTACATAATTTTATATGTAATGCATGTTAATTACGTATATTTATTACAAAAGCACTTATTGTTACCACAAAACTTGCGACAAACGTAAACATTTAGTATGTCAAGCTGTCAAGTGATTACACTCTAAGGAAGTTTTTAGGTTATGCTGTGCACGTTTTAATTAATATTCGCGTGTTTGCATATTTAGGTGCATACTCTTCTTTTATCTATGTTTAGGTGTTCAATTACATATAAATACAAAACATTTTACAGTTTGTAGTTTATTTTTGTATTATCATGTCTAATCGTAAAAGTAAATCTAAATCATTGTCAGATAAAATTTGTGATGCCTTAAAGGCTCCCGAATTACTAGATCCAGAAGATGATGTTTGCGAAGATACTAAGGCTAAAACAGTGCAAGTTGATAGCGATATTGATGATAATGACAATTTAGAAGCTACATTGAGCAGTTTTCGAAAACAAAATGCTAAATTATTGCAAGACATTGATAAAAAATATGCTGGCAAAGCAGTGTCTAGAAAAAGTTTAGATAAATTTGAAGATGAAAGTGACAGCAATGAAGAGATATCGGTCGGTTCATTTGTTAGAAAACCCGACTCAGATTCAAACGTGGAAAGTACTGATGGGGAATCTTCAAATGATGAAATATCCGATGGCGATGAAAATTTACAAAACTCTTTTGATGTAGAATCCAATGAATCCACAGATGATTCAAAATCTTTTGAATATGACTCCGAAGCATCAGATAACTCTGAGGTGTCAGAAGATGATTCAATGAATGATTTCGATGACATTAATATTTCTGATATTCAGAATAATTCAACTAAAGACGAATCTAACTTCAAACATGTTAATGATTCTAATGCCTCAGAAGGTATAAAGAAAGGTAATGCAGTTTGTCAACAATTACATATTTGGGAAAAACTAATGGAAATGAGGATACATTCTCAGAAACTTTTATTGAATTCAAATAAGTTACCAAGGTATGATGAATATCCAAAATTTGTTGCTCAAACAAATACAGATTTTAAAGAAAAAGTTCAAGAATCTAAAAAGCTTTTAACCAATCTCTTAAACAAGTATTTAGATGCTCAACAATTATTATTAAATAAATATCCTGAAACTAAAGATTTGTTAAAAGACAAGGAAGATATGAAATCAAATGATGACATGGATGAAGAAATTCCAAGTGATACTGAAGATGAGATAGAAAGTGATTCTGAAGATGGCACACCGAGTAAGCGACGAAAAGTAACTGATTTTCCAAAAACTATACTTGAAACACATGAGAAATACATAAAATATGCACATGATGTTATACAAAAGTGGCATGATAAAGTTAGAGTTGCTAGCGGTATTATGAATCATAAAAATTTGGGAACAAGCTCTTTGATACAACATATACAGCACATTCTATATGATAAAGATCGTTTACGCAAACGAACACAATTAAAAAGATCAAATTACCACATTTTATCATTAAAATCTTCCGTCAATGAGATAGATAATAAAAAGGATGAAACAACTAATGATATTGAAGAGAAAAAGATTGAAGAGGAATATAACTCTGAAATATTTGATGATGATGACTTCTATCATCAGTTGTTACGAGAACTTATTGAATACAAAACAGCAAATGTGACAGATCCAGTTCAATTATCTAAGCAGTGGATTGAGTTACAACAACTTAGAAATAAAATGAAAAGAAAAATAGATACAAAAGCAACTAAGGGTCGACGTATTCGGTATTCTGTCCATCCTAAACTTGTTAATTTCATGGCGCCAGAGGAAAATAGTATGTGGACAGATGAAGCAAAAGATGAATTGTTTGGATCTGTATTTGGAAAAAAAATACAACAAAAAGGTTAACTTATTTTGAAATCAATTAGTTGTTGTATTGCTGAAAATAAAGATTTATATTTATTATATCTCCTATTTTGTATATTTTATTTCTCATTTTCAGTGTGTTAATTATTACTTAATTATCTTTGTTATGAGATGGAAACAAACGGAACAGATATTTATGGAGAAAGATAATATTCGCATAAAACATATTTTTAGTTTTATATTTATGTATTCACGGCTTTCATTCCAAAAACCTCAGTGTCTCAGAAGTAAAACAAGAAAAGTAAGTAAATTTTATTATTGTTTTTTTTTTTTACAAAACAAGTTTTGGTAATATGTACATATTTCTATCAGTATTGGTCGAGAGTTGGATTGAGGCCAAATAATCTGTATCACTAAAAATTGAGCTAAAAGGCAGTAGTAAATACTAAAATGAAGATTTTTATTGATATGAAAGGCAAAACTTGTTTTGTTTTATGATATATACTTTTTCCACACTGGTCATATATATACATACATACACACACATACACAAACACACATATATATATATATATATATATATATATATATATAGGTTGTAAAATATCTCCCTTCCGCCTTTTTGTATTATAAACCAAGAGCAAAAAAGCGGAAGGAAGATATTTGACAATCTAATATATATATATATATATATATATATATATATATATATACATATACAATTGTATGGATATATACTCAACAGAAAATCTGTCCAAATAAAACAAAGTGATCGAATCATATTTAAATATGGTTCAATCAATTTGTATTACATATTTGGATGATATTTGGATAGTCTATATTTCAATTTTTTGTCAAGTATATGGTGCTTATTTAAAAAATAACGAAAATAACATCATCAAACACATTTTCAATTCAATCGAGAATTTATATTTTTGGCCATTTGATGTTAATCTCAAGTTTCAAATGCGATCAATTATTATTTAAAGTACTTTTTTTGTATTAGCACAATCCGTTTAAAAATATATTCGCATTTGACTATTTTGTTATTTTTTTAAACTTTTATGCATTATAGTTTAGCTCATAAATCTATAAACGTCAATTTGTGAATACTTATGTTTAAAACATTTCTGCGTATTATAAAATTATGTATTACTTTATGATGAAATATTCTACGAAATATTCACGAAATAGCAAATTACATTCTGATAAAATTCATGCATTTATATGAAGAATCGAAAATTTTCGTTCTTTTTCGAAAGTACTATTTTATCATTTAGCGTCCTCAAAATATACCAACAAATTAAATATCCGAGAATACTTTGGGAACTAAATTGACGAGAAAGCCAGCATATTGACCCATTGGTCCAAAAATCTATATACTAGGCTACATTGAACTACTTTTTTATCTTTCATGCTTGGATGAAAATTCGATTTTCATCAATTAAGCGAAAATCTAATCTAGAAATTGTTATCTTTCTCCACGCGTTCGTAATTTTGGGTTTTTTAAAAAAATAGTAACATATGCATATTATTAACAAATGATCACTAATTAGGTCACTGAGGAAAATTGTTTTACATAACTTGATTATAATGTGCGATTACGTTGCATTTATTTCTTATAAGGGATACTTTTATACTTAAAATTATATTTTTATAAGTTATCTATCACATGAAAATAAATAGTCCGAATTATGAAAATCATTATATTATATTTTAACTAACATTTTTATTGTAATGGCAATGTGTAATTTTTCCTCTACTCTTTCGGGCGCGCTTTCCTCTTCGCTCAATGGTCCTTGTGAGTTCCCAAGCGGATTCAAGCCTTAGTTATGGGTCTGAAGGATGTCTGTCTGCCCTTAATATGTGCCCTGTGTGTTGTTCCACTTAGCCAGGGCCAGATCCAGAAGGTCGGATAATAAAATGAAAAAAAAGTTTTCCATTAAATATAAAAAAAACAACTTTAACATTTAACGGACGATCTATATTTTTGCATGAATAATTATTAGTACGCTGCATGAGACCTTTTAATTATGCACATTTTTATTTTGTTTTGTTACTCTTATTTATAGTACTATCAGTTTCACATGAATAGTATTATATGTTAAGTCATAATCAGTTATAATGCTTTTAATACACAAATTAATATTTACCTAATTTCTTTGAAAAATGCTATAGTTTGGCTCGTTTTTCAACTATTAAGCGTGCTTAGATTATTCTTCTAATTTTCAGTTTTGATTTACTTTATAAATTTTTATATCTTTAGATATGCTGAAGTTTACTTGAGTGATATGATGATAGAATATATTGCAAATTATTCTATTTTGTAAAACAATTTAAACATGCAAATAAGTAGTTGCAGCAAATATGATAAATAAATGCAAAACTATAAAATATATAATGTATATAATATAATTGATAACTGGCCGTAATAATCGTCATTTTTTGGTTCAAGATTTGATATTATGATGACCATACTTTTATAATTCAAATGTAATTCATATATATAATCCGGGACGGGATAGGGGTATTTACGCTAATTAGCTTTTACAGATTTAAAAAACAAATACTGTTTTGGAGAACAGGTTTTTTTAAACAAAAATCCACACTTAGTTGCCAACCTGATAGTTTCATTTTTTATTATTTTAATAATTTTTACAACTGTCTTGAAACGGACAACAAGTAAAATATTTGACATGAAACTGAGGGAGTTGGCAAAATACAAATCATCTGACCATTGCCAGTGATTTGTCGAAGGTCTTATCTATTGTTGATTAATGCAGAAGAAATTTTCTTTTTAATCGGGCCCTGGTAGAGTTGTTCTGAAGTTTTCTGGCGAGCAAGTTCGGGTGATCAGCTAGGCGATTTCTATATTTGTGTGAGTAAGCGATTATTTCAATCCTTAACTGTGCTAGTGCCTGTGTCTTTGTGTATTAACCAATTTGGAACATACTTTGGTGCTTTCAAAATTTCTTTTAATAACCTGTTTTGAAATCTTTGAATTATTAAAGCGTTTGAGTTGGAAGTTGATCCCCATAGCTGTATGCCGTATGTCCAAATAGGTTTAATGATGGCTTTATAGAGGTAAATTTTATTATGCGTGTCAAGTTTTGATTTTCGTCCGAGAAGCCAATAATATCTTCTTCCGGTTTCTTCAAGCTGCTTCCTCTTTTTCTTAATGTGTTCTTTCCAGGTTAGTCTCTTATCCAGGTGTAAACCTAGATATTTGATTGTATCTGTTTGATCTATAATTTCGTCATTAAGTCTTATTGCAGGACATGTCCCTTTGCAAAGAGTGAAAGTGATGTGTTTTGACTTGCTGCTGTTAACTTCTATTCTCCACAAGCTTAACCATTTTTGTATCACGTCAAGATGATCTTGCAGCATTTTTGATGTGATAGTTCCATACAAGCATATTCACAGTATGTATGATTTTCAGATATTTGGAGGGTTATTGTAATTAATCAGGAAGCTGAATCCGGGACAAATATTGCCTTTAGAAAAACCGTGGCGCTAGGTGGAAATCCGGGACTGTCCAAGATATAATAGAAAATTTTGGTTTTACAAAACTAAAATTGTAGCTTGTTAGCGATACACGACTGTATTAAATTTGTTAAAACCTGGATGGATTACTAAAAGAGTTTCTGATTAAAATAAAAAAATGTGATAGTCTTAGATATTGTGTTTTTTAGAAATTAATTTATTCTACTTTTTGTCATGCATTTTTGCGATGAAGGATAATTTGGCAGTTTCGAATTTCAAGCAGTTTTCACAGAACACGCGCGTAGATCCGCTTATTCGTTTTTCTCCGGTCGTTCGAAGGTCGATTTAATATATATATATATATATATATATATATATATATATATATATAGTAATATATAATATTGTTTCATCGACTATATTTTTGATTGATGTACCTGCCTTGTTATTTCTTGGCTTGACAGTCATGACATGTGGTTGGCTCTCATTTTTATGTATATTTTCACATTTTCACTGGACACTTGTGGAAGAATCAAGAGATAATCAGGCCTTGGGCGGCGATAAATAATCTTGAATTTTTCTCATTGTCAACGAAACCCATAATGATGGTTGTTCACATGGCGATGTTTCGATCGATTTGAATTTCATATTGAAATTATAATTCATGCCAGAATAATATAGTTCTATAGGAGTTCTTTGCCACTCGTTTATAGGTTTCTCAAAACGGTATATTTTTTATTACACACTTTAAATTTTTATATTATTTTTTCATGACTATTATACTCGTAGTTTCAAAAAATTAAACTGTTTTAGGATTTTCCTAAACATTTGTTCAAATTTGTGAATTCACCGTATCGTAGAATTTTGAAAAACTGTTTAGAGCACGACAGATTTGTACGAAAATATAAGTTTTTGTTTAATTAATAATTACTTAGTTACTCGTTTAATTACTAATTATCTACTGCCTTTTACCTTTATTGGTTTATCAAAAGTATTATTTAACTTCCCGAAATAGTGTTTGTGCAAACCGTTTTTTGATCTTTCGATACATTTTCACGAAAACAGATGTTCCGATTTCAAAAATTTAAGGGCCATTTATTATAGCTCGTTATGGACTAGTGTTTAATAATATACTAAAATATTATAGGCCTACGATAAGCGATTGAATTATAAATAATCATTAAAGTTTAGAATTTCGCTTTACGCTTATGCGATTTTAATCAGAATCTATGCCGAACATTCATATACGATGCATGTTACGTAAGTAGCTATTGATTACGGCTGATGATCACACATAAAATACATTTTAACTACTAACTAGCTGTAAGTGGAATTCTGTCTAAAGGCAATTAGGGCATCGTGCCTTAAGGCAAATTGCTGGAACTTCCCGTACCAAAAATTATTATTTTTTCTTAAAACGATTAACATTTTTGAAAAAAAATTTCTTTGAAAAAATAAGATTTTTGAGAAACTATAAATTGGACAAAAAATTAGTTTTTTTTGAAAAAAAAAATTTTTTTTAAAAATATTTTTTTAAAATTTTTTTTTTTTTTTTTTTGAAAAAAAATTTTTTTTTCTTTATTTTGACATATTGTGGAAGATCTGAACTTTTTTTTCAAAGCAATCGTACTGCTTTAACTACATAGGGACAAAATATAAAGCGCGTAAGCGCCGCGTTGCTGTCTAACGCATAAGCATTGGTACGGAACCGATAGGAATGTTAACAAAATGTATACTTATTGTTAAAATCTCTATAAAATGTCTGATAATTTGATGTGCATATGTCTAATGATCATTTTTGACCGCCAAATGGCTCAT